GGACAGAGGGGACAGGGACGGGGACAGGTCAGGGACAGGTGTGACAATGACAATGACACAGTGACAATGACACGGTGACAGTGACAATGACAGTGTCACTCACCACGCCCACCTGCAGCAGCAGCACCCTGAGGGGCTGGGATGGGCACACAGTGACACGGACAGTGACACAGCGACAATGACAATGTGACAATGACACAGTGACAATGACACGGTGACAGTGACAATGACAAGGTGACGGTGACAATGACAATGTGACAATGACAATGACACAATGACATTGTGACAGTGACATGGTGTGGGGACGTTTGGGGACGTTTGGGGACATTTGGGGACGTTTGGGGATGTTTGGGGACACCAGGGGGACGTTGGGGACAGCCGTACCTCCAGGCCAGCAGCAGCGTGCAGTCGGTGAGGAGACAAACCTTGGCCAGGTCCTTGAGGGACTGGTGGGGGTCACGCTGGGGACACGGACAGTGACACAGCGACAATGACAATGTGACAATGACACAGTGACAATGACACGGTGACAGTGACAATGACAAGGTGACGGTGACAATGACAATGTGACAATGACAATGACACAGTGACATTGTGACAGTGACATGGTGACAGTGACAGTGACAGTGTCACTCACCACGTCCACCTGCAGCAGCAGCACCCTGAGGGGCTGGGATGGGATGGGATGGACACACAGTGACAGGGACAATGACACAGTGACAATGACAATGTGACAATGACAATGACACAGTGACATTGTGACAGTGACATGGTGACAGTGACAGTGACAGTGTCACTCACCACGTCCACCTGCAGCAGCAGCACCCTGAGGGGCTGGGATGGGATGGGATGGACACACAGTGACAGTGACAATGTGACAATGACAGTGTGACAATGACAAGGTGACAGTGACAGTGTCACTCACCACGTCCACCTGCAGCAGCAGCACCCTGAGGGGCTGGGATGGGCTGGGATGGGATGGGATGGACACACAGTGACAGGGACAATGACACAGTGACAATGACAATGTGACAATGACAATGACACAGTGACATTGTGACAGTGACATGGTGACAGTGACAGTGACAGTGTCACTCACCACGTCCACCTGCAGCAGCAGCACCCTGAGGGGCTGGGATGGGGGTGAGATGGGACACAGGGGACAGTGACAGGTGAGATGGGGACAGGGACAGGGACAGCGACAGGTGAGATGGGGACAGGTGAGATGGGGACAGGTGAGATGGGGACAGCGACAGGTGAGGGGACAGGTGAGATGGGGACAGGTGAGATGGGGACAGGTGAGATGGGGACAGGTGAGATGGGGACAGGTGAGATGGGACACAGGGGACAGCGACAGGGACAGGTGAGATGGGACACAGGGGACAGTGACAGGTGAGATGGGGACAGGGACAGGGACAGCGACAGGTGAGATGGGGACAGGTGAGATGGGGACAGGTGAGATGGGGACAGCGACAGGGACAGCGACAGGTGAGATGGGGACAGGTGAGACAGGGACAGAGGGAACAGGGACAGGTGAGATGGGGACAGAGGGGACAGGTGAGGGGACAGGTGAGATGGGGACAGGGACAGAGGGGACAGGGACATGGACAGGTGAGATGGGGACAGCGACGGTGACAGGTGAGGGACAGGGACAGGTGAGATGGGGACAGGGACAGGTGAGGGGACAGGTGAGATGGGGACAGAGGGGACAGGGACAGGTGAGACAGAGACAGGTGGGGGTGACAGTGACAGTGTCCCGCTCCACGTCCACCTGCAGCAGCAGCACCCTGAGGGGCTGGGATGGGATGGGATAGACACACAGTGACAGGGACAGTGACAATGACACAGTGACAATGACAAGGTGACAGTGTCACTCACCACGTCCACCTGCAGCAGCAGCACCCTGAGGCCGCAGCCCCGGCCCAGCGCCCGCAGCCGCTCGTGGATGTACTCGGGGTGCAGCCGGTGGTACCTGAGGCTGGGACAGAGGGGACATGGGGACACTGAGGGACACTGAGGGACACCTGGGGACACAGGGGACACTGAGGGGACAGCCGGTGGTACCTGAGGCTGGGACAGAGGGGACATCCTGGGCACCTCTGGGCACACCTGGGGACACCTGGGGACATCCTGGGGACACTAGGGGACACACCTGAGCACGCCTGGGGACACTTGGGGACATCCTGAGCACCCCTGAGGACACTTGGGGACACACCTGAGCACCCCTGGGCACCACTGGGGACACCTGGGCACCCCTGGGGACACTTGGGGACACCTGGGGACATCCTGGCACCCCTGGGGACACCTGGAGACATCCTGAGCACCCCTGTGGACACTGAGGGGACACACCTGAGCACACCTGGGGACACACCTGGGGACACTTGGGGACCCCTGGGGACACTGGAGACATCCTGAGCACCCCTGTGGACACTGAGGGGACACACCTGAGCACACCTGGGGACACACCTGGGGACACTTGGGGACCCCTGGGGACACTGAGAGGACCCCTGGGTACACACCTGACCACCCCTGGGGACACGTGGGCACACCTGAGCACCCCTGGGGACACCTGGGCACCCCTGGGGACACGTGGGGACGCCTGGGCACCCCTGGGGACACACTGAGCACCCCGGTGACACCTGGGCACACCTGAGCACCCCCGGGCACCCCTGGGGACACTTGGGGACACATGGGGGACACACCTGGGGACACCCTGGGCACCCCTGGGGACACTTGGGGACACACCTGAGCACCCCTGGGGACACCTGAGCACCCCTGGGGACCCCTGGGGACACTTGGGGACCCCTGGGGACACTGAGGGGTCCCCCGGGGCCGCCCTCACCTGAGGAAGAGCGCGCAGGCGCCGGCGCCCAGCACGAAGTCGGGCCCGATGTCCCCGAAGTGCCAGGGGACGCTGCGGATGAAGCGCAGCACGGGGTTGCCGCGCTGGGACAGGCGCGTGTCGCGACATGAGCCCGGGGACACGCCCCCAGCCCGGGGACACGCCCCCAGATCGGGGACACGCCCCCAGACCGAGGACACACCCCCGAGCCCGAGGACACACCCCCGTGTCACGATATGAGCACAAGGACACGCCCCCGAGCCCGAGGACACACCCCCGAGCCCGAGGACACACCCCCGTGTCACGATATGAGCACAAGGACACGCCCCCGAGCCCGAGGACACACCCCCGAGCCCGAGGACACACCCCCGTGTCACGATATGAGCACAAGGACACGCCCCCGAGCCCGAGGACACACCCCCGAGCCCGAGGACACACCCCCGTGTCACGATATGAGCACAAGGACACGCCCCCGAGCCCGAGGACACACCCCCGAGCCCGAGGACACACCCCCGTGTCACGATATGAGCACAAGGACACGCCCCCGAGCCCGAGGACACACCCCCGAGCCCGAGGACACACCCCCGTGTCACGATATGAGCACAAGGACACGCCCCCGAGCCCGAGGACACACCCCCGAGCCCGAGGACACACCCCCGTGTCACGATATGAGCACAAGGACACGCCCCCGAGCCCGAGGACACACCCCCGAGCCCGAGGACACACCCCCGTGTCACGATATGAGCACAAGGACACGCCCCCGAGCCCGAGGACACACCCCCGAGCCCGAGGACACACCCCCGTGTCACGATATGAGCACAAGGACACGCCCCCGAGCCCGAGGACACACCCCCGAGCCCGAGGACACACCCCCGTGTCACGATATGAGCACAAGGACACGCCCCCGAGCCCGAGGACACACCCCCGAGCCCGAGGACACACCCCCGTGTCACGATATGAGCACAAGGACACGCCCCCGAGCCCGAGGACACACCCCCGAGCCCGAGGACACACCCCCGTGTCACGATATGAGCACAAGGACACGCCCCCGAGCCCGAGGACACACCCCCGAGCCCGAGGACACACCCCCGTGTCACGATATGAGCACAAGGACACGCCCCCGAGCCCGAGGACACACCCCCGAGCCCGAGGACACACCCCCGTGTCACGATATGAGCACAAGGACACGCCCCCGAGCCCGAGGACACACCCCCGAGCCCGAGGACACACCCCCGTGTCACGATATGAGCACAAGGACACGCCCCCGAGCCCGAGGACACACCCCCGAGCCCGAGGACACACCCCCGTGTCACGATATGAGCACAAGGACACGCCCCCGAGCCCGAGGACACACCCCCGAGCCCGAGGACACACCCCCGTGTCACGATATGAGCACAAGGACACGCCCCCGAGCCCGAGGACACACCCCCGAGCCCGAGGACACACCCCCGTGTCACGATATGAGCACAAGGACACGCCCCCGAGCCCGAGGACACACCCCCGAGCCCGAGGACACACCCCCGTGTCACGATATGAGCACAAGGACACGCCCCCGAGCCCGAGGACACACCCCCGAGCCCGAGGACACACCCCCGTGTCACGATATGAGCACAAGGACACGCGGGACACTGAGGGACACCTGGGGACACAGGGGACACTGAGGGGACAGCCGGTGGTACCTGAGGCTGGGACAGAGGGGACATCCTGGGCACCTCTGGGCACACCTGGGGACACCTGGGGACATCCTGGGGACACTAGGGGACACACCTGAGCACGCCTGGGGACACTTGGGGACATCCTGAGCACCCCTGAGGACACTTGGGGACACACCTGAGCACCCCTGGGCACCACTGGGGACACCTGGGCACCCCTGGGGACACTTGGGGACACCTGGGGACACACCTGAGCACCCTTGAGGACACTTGGGGACACCTGGGCACCGCTGGTGACACTGACACAGGGGACAGCCGGTGGTACCTGAGGCTGGGACACAGAGGGGACACTGAGGGGACACTGAGGGGACCCCTGGGGACACACCTGAGCACCCCTAGGGACACTTGGGGACACGTGGGGGACACACCTGAGCATGCCTGGGGACACCTGGGGACACACCTGGGGACACACCTGGGGACACTTGGGGACCCCTGGGGACACTGAGAGGACCCCTGGGTACACACCTGACCACCCCTGGGGACACGTGGGCACACCTGAGCACCCCTGGGGACACCTGGGCACCCCTGGGGACACGTGGGGACACCTGGGCACCCCTGGGGACACACCTGAGCACCCCTGGGGACACTTGGGGACACGTGGGGGACACCTGGGGACACTGAGGGGACACACCTGAGCACTCCTGGGGACACACCTGAGCACCCCGGTGACACCTGGGCACACCTGAGCACCCCCGGGCACCCCTGGGGACACTTGGGGACACATGGGGGACACACCTGGGGACACCCTGGGCACCCCTGGGGACACTTGGGGACACACCTGAGCACCCCTGGGGACACCTGAGCACCCCTGGGGACCCCTGGGGACACTTGGGGACCCCTGGGGACACTGAGGGGTCCCCCGGGGCCGCCCTCACCTGAGGAAGAGCGCGCAGGCGCCGGCGCCCAGCACGAAGTCGGGCCCGATGTCCCCGAAGTGCCAGGGGACGCTGCGGATGAAGCGCAGCACTGGGGACCCCTGGGGACACTGAGGGGTCCCCCGGGGCCGCCCTCACCTGAGGAAGAGCGCGCAGGCGCCGGCGCCCAGCACGAAGTCGGGCCCGATGTCCCCGAAGTGCCAGGGGACGCTGCGGATGAAGCGCAGCACGGGGTTGCCGCGCTGGGACAGGCGCGTGTCGCGACATGACCCCAGCCCGAGGATACGCCCCCCGTGTCGCGATATGAGCACAAGGACACGCCCCCGAGCCGGAGGACACGCCCCCCCGTGTTGCGATATGAGCACCAGGGACGGGACAGACCCCATGTCGTGATATGAGCCCCAAACCCAGGGCCAGGCCCCGCCCATGTCGCGATAGCAGCCCCAAACCCAGGGCCAGGCTCCGCCCATGTCGCGACAGCAGCCCCAAACCCAGGGCCAGGCCCCGCCCATGTCGCGACACGGCCCCGCCCACCTGGCGCGGGCTGACGATGATGCCGCTGCTCTTGGCGCCCGGTCCCAGCGCCGGCGGCGCCCGCGGCTCCTCCCGGTCCCGGTTCTGCTCCCGGTTCTGGTCCCGGTTCTGGTCCCGGTTCTGATCCCGGTCCCGGTTCTGGTCCCGGTTCTCGTCCCGGTTCTGCTCCCGGTTCTGGTCCCGGTCCCGGTCCCCGGGGGTCGCGAGGTGTCCCGGAGGTCCCGGGAGGGGTCCCGAGGGGGCGGTTCCGGTGGGTCCGGGATCCCGGTCCCGGTTCTGCTCCCGGTTCTGGTCCCGGTCCTGGTCCCCGGGGGTCGCGAGGGGTCCCGGAGGTCCCGGGAGGGGTCCCGAGGGGGCGGTTCCGGTGGGTCCGGGATCCCGGTCCCGGTTCTGCTCCCGGTTCCGCTCCGGATCCTGGTTCTGATCCCGGTTCTGCTCCCGGTTCCGCTCCGGATCCCGGTTCTGCTCCCGGTCCTTCCCGGTTCCCCCCGAGCCCCTCATCACGAACTCAGCGTAAGAACCGGGACCGGGCGGGTTCAGCACCGGCACCGGCACCGGGCCCGGCGGGGGCGCGGCGGAGGCTCTGAACAGCGACGGGACCTGGCGGGGACACCGGGACAGCGCCGGTGACACCGGGACCGCGCCGGGATACCGGGACAGCGCCGGGATACCGGGACAGCGCTCCGGTTCCGCTCCGGATCCTGGTTCTGATCCCGGTTCTGCTCCCGGTTCCGCTCCGGATCCCGGTTCTGCTCCCGGTCCTTCCCGGTTCCCCCCGAGCCCCTCATCACGAACTCAGCGTAAGAGCCGGGACCGGGCGGGTTCGGCACCGGCACCGGCACCGGCACCGGGCCCGGCGGGGGCGCGGCGGAGGCTCTGAACAGCGACGGGACGCGGAGAGCGGAGCCCCGGGGAGGGACACGGCGACAGCTCCGCGGGGACAGCCGGGGGCACCGGGGGACACAGCCGGGCCCCGTCCGCACCGGGGACGGCGACAGGCGGAGAGCGGAGCCCCGGGGAGGGACACGGCGACAGCTCCGCGGGGACAGCCGGGGGCACCGGGGGACACAGCCGGGTCCCGTCCGCACCGGGGACACCGGCGGGAGGAGAGCGGAGCAACGGGGAGAGACACGGCGACAGCTCCGCGGGGACGGCCGGGGACACCGGGGGACACAGCCGGGTCCCGTCCGCACCGGAGCGGCGCAGCAGGAGCAGGAGGGGACGCGGGTCCCGAGCGGCTCCCGGGGGCTGCGGGGGGACACGGAGGGGTCAGGAGGGGACAAAAGTGACCGGGGACAAGGCACGGAGCAGCCCGGTACCGGAATCACTGGGGTTTGGGACAGCCCGGTACCGGAATCATTGGGGTTTGGGACAGCCCGGTACCGGAATCACTGGGGTTTGGGACAGCCCGGTACCGGAATCAGGGGGGTTGGGACAGCCCGGTACCGGAATCAGGGGGTTTGGGACAGCCCGGTACCGGAATCATTGGGGTTTGGGACAGTCCAGTACCGGAATCATTGGGGTTTGGAACAGCCCGGTACCGGAATCAGGGGGGTTGGTACAGCCCGGTACCGGAACCATGGGATTTGGGACAGCCCGGTACCGGATCCTCACGGATCCAGACCATCTCGGTACCGGAACCACGTGGACCCGGTGCCGATCCCGGTTACCTGCGGCCCCGGGGGGGCGTGGCCGAGGCCGGTGGGTCTCCGGTGGGCGCGGCCGGGCCCGGGCGGCTCCTCCGGGTCCGTCCCCTCGCACCTGCCCAGGTGCTCCGAACCGGAATCTGCCGGGCGGGAATGAGCCCGGGACAAGGGACCGGGACAAGGGACGGGACCCCCGGGACCGCGACAAGGGACCGGGACAAGGAACCGGGACAATGGACAGGACCCCCGGGACCGGGACAAGGAACGGGCCCCCCGGGACAAGGAACCGGGAGAATGGACAGGACCCCAGGGACCGGGACAAGGGATGGGACCCCCGGGATGAGGAACGGGACCCCGGGACCGGGACAAGAAACGGGACCGCCGGAACGGGATCCCCGGGACAGGGGACAGGAACCCCGGGACAACGACGGGACCTCCAGGACTGGGATCCCCGGGACGGGACCCCGGGACGGGACCCGGACCCCGGCACAAGGAACCGGGACAATGGGCACGACCCCCGGGACCGGGACCAGAAACGGGACCGCCGGAACGGGATCCCCGGGACAGGGGACGGGAACCCCGGGACAACGACGGGACCTCCAGGACCGGGACCGGGACCCGGACCCCGGGGACAAGGAACCGGGACAATGGACAGGACCCCCGGGACCAGGACAAGGAACGGGACCCCCGGGACAAGGAACGGGACCCCCGGGACAAGGAACCGGGAGAATGGACAGGACCCCCGGGACCGGGACCAGAAACGGGACCGCCGGAAGGGGATCCCCGGGACAGGGGACAGGAACCCCGGGACAACGACGGGACCTCCAGGACCGGGACCGGGACCCGGACCCCGGGGACAAGGAACCGGGACAATGGACAGGACCCCCGGGACCAGGACAAGGAACGGGACCCCCGGGACAAGGAACGGGACCCCCGGGACAAGGAACCGGGAGAATGGACAGGACCCCCGGGACCGGGACCAGAAACGGGACCGCCGGAAGGGGATCCCCGGGACAGGGGACAGGAACCCCGGGACAACGACGGGACCTCCAGGACTGGGATCCCCGGGACGGGACCCCGGGACGGGACCCGGACCCCGGCACAAGGAACCGGGACAATGGGCACGACCCCCGGGACCGGGACCAGAAACGGGACCGCCGGAACGGGATCCCCGGGACAGGGGACGGGAACCCCGGGACAACGACGGGACCTCCAGGACCGGGACCGGGACCCGGACCCCGGGGACAAGGAACCGGGACAATGGACAGGACCCCCGGGACCGGGACAAGGAACGGGACCCCCGGGACAAGGAACCGGGAGAATGGACAGGACCCCCGGGACCGGGACCAGAAACGGGACCGCCGGAAGGGGATCCCCGGGACAGGGGACAGGAACCCCGGGACAACGACGGGACCTCCAGGACCGGGACCGGGACCCGGACCCCGGGGACAAGGAACCGGGACAATGGACAGGACCCCCGGGACCAGGACAAGGAACAGGACCCCGTGACGGACCCCCGGGACCGGGACCCCCGTGACAGGACCCCGTGACGGACCCCCGGGACCGGGACCCCCGTGACAGGACCCCGTGACGGACCCCCGGGACCGGGACCCCCGTGACAGGACCCCGTGACGGACCCCCGGGACCGGGACCCCCGGTCCGGGCCCCGCCCCCGCCTACCTGAGAATCCCGAGTCGTGCTCGGAGTCGCTGCCCGGGGGGGGCCGCGCCCCTTTCTGGGGGGTCCCCGGGGGCGGCGGGGACAGGGGGGACCCCGGGGCCACCCCCGGGGCCACCCCCGGGGCCACCCCCGGGGCCACCCCCGGCTCGTCCGGCATCGGGGACACGGGGACCCTGGGGGGAGGGGCGTTGGTGGCCCGGTGACAGCGGGGGAGGGGCTGGCGACGGGGACAGCGGGGGGGTCGTGGCCCCCCACAATGTCCCCTGTGCCCCCCCAGTGTCACCTGTCTCTCCGGTACCGGAGCGCGGGGTCCTACTGGTACCGGCCCCGCCGGGGGGTCCCGGAAGCTCCGGTACCGGCACCGGCCGGGGGGTCCCAGGAGCTCCGGTACCGGCCCCGCTGGGGGGTCCCGGGAGCTCCGGTACCGGCACCGGCCGGGGGGTCCCGCCCCCGAGGCTCCGCTCCCGGTCCCCGCCTGCCCACCGGGGCTCCGGTGCCGGTCAGGGGGTTCTGATCCAGAGGCTCCGGTCCGGGTGAGGAAGATCCGGTCCCAGGGCTCCGGTCCCGTTCGGGGAACTCCGGTGCCGGTCCTGGTCAGGGTCTCCGATGCGTGGATATCCGGTGCCGGTCCCGTTCGGGAGTCCCGGTCAGGGGGTCCCGGTCCGGTCCGGTCCCGTTCGGGGGTCCCGGTCCCGGTCTTGGTCAGGGGGTCCCGGTTCCGATCGGGGGTCCGGCTCCGTTTTCCGATCCCGGTCCCGGTCAGGGGGTCCCGGTTCCGCTCCCGGCCCCGTTCTGGGGCTCCGGTCCCGGTCGGGGGTCCCGGTCCCGGTCCCGGTCCCGGTCAGGGGGTCCCGGTTCCGATCCCGGCCCCTTTCGGGGGTCCCGGTCCCTTTCGGGGGTCCCGGTTCCGCTCCCGGCCCCGTTCGGGGGCTCCGGTCCCGCTCCCGGTTCTGGGGGCGGGGACAAATCCCGGCCTCCCCAAGCCCCACCCACATCCCTCCCCTCCGAATTTGACCGACAGCTCCCTCGACCAATGGGAGCGCGGGCTTCGGGTCACGTGTCCTCCTCGCGCCACGTGCGGCCGCGGGGCCGGTGCTGGGACACGTGAGGGGGCGGGGCCTGCGCGGGGCACGTGGCCGGGGGGCGGGGCCGGGGTTCCAGACA